TGGCTATGGCATCAAAGATTTGGGCACTTCAACTTCAACGGGCTAAAGTTACTTTATCAGAAAAATATGATGAAAAATCTACCGTCCATCCAAATGAACAACAATCTCTGCGAAAAGTGCATGGAGGGAAAACAATATAGGAAATCATTTCCTTCAAGTCAAGCAGGAAGAGCCAAACAAATACTGGAGCTGGTGCATACAGACGTGTGTGGACCAATGAGGACGCCAACCTTCGAGAAGAACAGGTACTTCATCCTCTTCATTGATGACTACACAAGAATGACTTGGGTGTACTTCATGAAAGAGAGATCAGAAGTCTTCTCTATTTTCAAGAAATTTAAAAGCCTCGTCGAAAATCAGAGTGGAAGAAGAATTAAAGTACTTAGGAGTGATCGAGGTACAGAGTACACATCCAAGGAGTTCAACAAATTCTGCGAGGATGAAAGAGTCAACCATCAGCTAACTGTCGGCTACGCTCCAGAGCAAAATGGTGTGTCAGAAAGGAAAAACAGAACCGTGCAAGAGATGGCCAGGACAATGCTTGCGGAGAAGAACATGCCTAAAGAATTTTGGGCAGAAGTTGTGTACAGTGCAGTTTATATACTCAACAGGTGCCCTATTAAAGCTGTCCAAAATAAAACTCCAATAGAAGCTTGGAGTGGACGAAAGCCATCAGCACAACATCTACGAGTCTTTGGGAGTATCTGCTATGTGCACATCCCAAAGGAAAAGAGGCACAAACTTGAGGAGAAATCCGAGAAAGGCATATTCCTCGGCTATGCGTCTCAATCTAAAGGATATAGAATTTACATCCTCAAGACTGGTAAACTAATTTCAGTCGAGATGTCAAGTTCGATGAAAATGCTACGTGGAACTGGGAGGAAGAAAAGGTCGAATACCAAAATATCATGGTACCTGCATCACGGAGGCAAAATATCATACCAGAAGAACCAGAAGATGAAGCAAAAAGAACACAATCACCTTCAACTCCACAACCTTCCAGTCCGAGGACATCATCACCATCAAGAGACGAACAGTCATCCCCTGAATCACCACCAAGAAAAGTACGGACACTCAGGGAGATCTACGAGACATGTAATTTTTCCATAGTGGAACCAGAGAGCTTTGAATCAGCAGTAAAGCAAAAAGAATGGATAAAAGCCATAGAGGAAGAAATCAGGATGATCGAGAAGAATAAAACTTGGGAGTTGGTCAATCCACCAAATAACAAGGAAGTCATTGGAGTCAAATGGGTCTACAAAACAAAGCTGAATTCAGATGGCTCAATCCAAAAACATAAAGCACGACTGGTAGCTAAAGGGTACTCACAACTTCCGGGGATCGACTACAACGAGACCTTCGCTCCAGTTGCTCGGCTAGATACTATAAGGGCTCTAATCGCTCTCGCGGCCCAGAAGAAATGAAAAATCTACCAGCTCGATGTAAAGTCAGCATTCCTCAATGGCTATCTAGAAGAGGAGATCTATGTCGAACAACCTCAAGGGTTCGTGGCAGAAGAACAAGAAAATAAAGTCCTAAAACTAAAAAAGGCGCTTTATGGATTGAAACAAGCCCCACGAGCTTGGTACAGCCGAATTGAGGACTACTTCACCAGTCATGGATTCAAAAGAAGCGAAATTGAGCCAACACTCTACATTAAGACCCAAGGTAACGACAACAAACTCATTGTTTCTCTTTATGTTGATGATCTTATTTATACAGGAAACAATCAGGAGATGATTAAGGAGCTCAAAGAAGATATGATGAAGACCTTTGAGATGACTGACCTTGGGCAAATGAGCTATTTTCTCGGTATTGAGGTAAACCAAGAAGAAAATGGGATATTTATCTCACAGAGGAAATACACAGATAATCTATTAAAAAGGTTCAAGATGGACTGCTATAAACCCGTGGCAACTCCTATGGTTGCGAACGAAAAATTAAGCAAAGACGACGGTACACCAAATGCAGACGCATACACATACCGAAGTTTGATTGGAAGCCTACTATATCTAACGGCCACAAGACCAGATATCATGTACGCGACAAGTCTACTATCGAGGTTCATGCAAAGTCCAAGCCAAGTTCACTATGGAGCTGCGAAGAGAATACTGCGATATTTGCAGGGTACTAAAGACTACGGAATCAAATACGAATATAACAAAGACTCAGGACTGATCGGATACACAGACAGTGACTGGGCTGGATCAACTGACGATATGAAAAGCACCTCAGGCTACACATTTTCACTTGGCTCAGGCATATTCTCATGGTCATCTAAAAAGCAAAACTGTGTGGCACAATCTTCTGCAGAAGCCGAGTATGTCGCAGCAGCATTAACGACAAGTCAAGCTATTTGGCTTAGGCGTATTCTTGGATACATGGGAGAACACCAAGAAAGTCCAACAGAGATATACTGCGACAACAAGTCAGCGATAGCAATGGCGAAAAATCCTGTACATCACAGCAGAACCAAACACATTGCTATCAAATATCACTTTCTACGTGAAGCCACTAATGACAAGCAGATAGAGCTCACATATGTTGCCACTGAAGATCAACTTGCAGATATTTTTACAAAGGCTTTACCACGACCAAGATTTGAGAGTCTACGCGAAAAACTTGGAATTATCAATGAGCATTAAGGGGGAGTGTTAAAATCATTAATGCTCATTCTAGAAATAAGTAGAAATTAGTTGATTGTTATCATTAAATGCTCATTGTTGGTTGTTGAAATAAATGCTAAGTGCTCTAGATTTTTCCCTACAGGCTATATATATGTATGTCATGCGTGTAGTTGAAATGCAAGGGGAATTCATCAGATAATAATAAAGTCTTGTCTTCTCTACTATAATTCCCAATATCCATCTTCTCACATTCATAACATAAAATATTTGTTCCCAATTATCTTTTATTCCACCAATTTCAATTATTCTCCAACACAATTATAAATTATTTTTTTATACCAACAGTTCATGACAAGTTGCGTGAGAATAAATATTATTTGCAGTGATATGATTTTTATTATTTTCTCCTTGGTGTTCTCGTGACTGCTTGAATGTAATTTATTAATGATCTTTGCAACCCAATGGTAATTTATCAGTTCAAAGGGCTAGAAAAACAAGAAAATTTGTTTTATTTTTTAATTATTTAATTAATATTCTTGTTTAATTAGGTTTCTTTTCTTCTATGATTCTATCTGCAAATAACCCTAGTTACCACACAAGTCCAAATCGAAAAATTCGAAAAGAAAAATTTGTCTGGGGTTTCCAAATTTCTGGAGACGGCCCTATACACTGTACACACCAATTTTCTTAGATTTGTTACAACCATGGTTTTCAAAACCGAACCGTTCATCGAACCAGTGAAGCTATCGGTTCAATGGTTCACTAGTTGGACCAGTGATCGAATCGGTCGAACTAGTTTAATGAATATACATTTTTTTATTTATTTTATATGTATAACATATAATTATATATATTTATCATTAATTTTATAGTATATGACATTTCTCTAAATAAGAGTTCAATAATAGATACAACCGATAATGTTGAATAATGTTGATAACTTTTTTTTTTTAATTTTATTTTTATATTTGAAATTTTAATCTATGTTTAAGTTACAAAATAGAGAGAATAGAGGCAACTCTATTTTTTATTTTTAAATATATTTTAAGTTTTTTATTATTGATGAAAAAATAAAAAATAAAAATTATGTGGATAACAAATAACAATAGATTGTTTCATTCTTTTTCAATAGATTGAGCATAAATATAGCCCAATAAATAGCCCAATACAAAAAATACTACATTTTTATTTTAATGGGTACAATGTGATAGCTCAATATTGGCTCAATAATTCAACAATGACCTTTATTTGTCAACATATCCCACATTTGAAACACAAGTAAAAATAATGTGATATGTAAATGAGTTCGCAATCAACTCCTCATAAGTTCTACAGTTAGAACCGTTGAATCATTCAAACCGGTCCTTGTTCACCGGTTTAACTGGTTTTGGGCCGGTTCAAACGGTTTAACCGAACCGGAATGAAGGCCGATTCCCGGTCCAACTAGTTTAACCTGCCGGGCTGGTCCGGTTTTGAAAACCATGGTTACAACTACTCGGTCTCAAATTATGTCTGCTCTTTCAATTTTTTTAATTTGCAATTTATTTATTGTTTGCAAATTTTTAGCCACATCTAAACCAATATTACATTTATCGTTAATAGCAATTTATTTGTTATTAACAAATTTTTGGACACACCTCACCAAATATTATATTTATCGATAATAGCAAATTCGATTGCAATTTATTAATTACCATCTCAAACATGTACAGTATTATATATTATATTTATCACTATTAGTCTAAAAATATCAGATAACCACATTAATGAAGTGTTCTATTTGACAAGTTGAGAGTGCACCTTATAATGCATTTTTTTAAAAAAAATTATTACGAAAATTTTTTATCCACATCTAAGTACTCAATAAATATTATATTTCATGTTTTTAATCTAAGAATATCATATATAAAAATAATATTTTTAAAATATTAAACTACATTTTGTAAAAATTTTATTGAACTTATATAAATAGTTCAATAAAAATAATAGGTAATGAATGAAGATGATAAAATAATTTTACATAAAATTTTAATTATAATATAACAAATATTGAAGTTTAATTTTTGACAATAATATGTTTTAGTGAATTTAGAGAAAAAGTTATAATTAAGTCTACGATGAATTTTTTCGATAATAGTGAATTGAATAAATTTGTGGAGATTTCATTTCAAGAAAAATATAATTTAATGAAAACTATAATATGAAACATAAGACTAAAATTATAAAAGAAAGACACCATGTGGATTCAAGTAAAGAGGTAATAATAGCTCCAAACGAGTTGAACTATCACAAAAATGTGACCAACAGGTTTTCGCTTTCACAATGAGTCGCCAATACTTCCAATGAAGTAACAATATAGATAGTTTGCAGTACTTATGCCGCCTTCTGACCTCTCCATTTCAACTCAAGGCACATTATATCGTCGTACGTATACGTCCTGTTTCTCAATTCCGAAAGGTCCGTCCACTCCACGAGCTGCCATATTTTCCCATTACCTGTTTTCATGTGCACTTGTTCCAGTTCGTGCCCCCAAAAGTAGGGCTCTGTCCCGAGGCTCTCGTTTGCAAGCAAGATGTTAAATTGAAACTCCGAGAGCCTGTTCGTACAACCCCATATATGCCTCGGTCGACAAACACGAAACAAGCCATTCGTAAAGTCCTTGTACCAAGATGCCGTGCGACTTATACAAGTGTTAAATGTCAATTTCTCCACCACCACAGGCGGATGGTCACTGAGAATATGACTGCAGTCGACAACACTGCACGGCATCTCCAGAATCAGAGAAATTCGAGACCCACTTAGTGCCTTGAGCATTCGTCTCAGCCTAAGGAACCATGAATTGGCGTCGAAATCGTGATCATCCTCGCGCGAAGAGAGGACTACATATGAGTGCCACTCCTTGGAAGTAGTTGCCGCAACAGAGAATGTGTCCGGCACCTTGGAAATAGGGGCAGTGAATTCAAAATCGACAATTTTGGGGGCACAAATCGTAACTCCTTTAAGCAATATTCTGCCTGTCCAGATGCACAAGTTCTTGACCGAATCATTTGCAAGATAGATTTCCTTGAAACCGAAGCATTCATGTAGGTTCAAGCTCTCAAGAGTTGGGCAACCAAACGATAACAGGTCGAACGACTCACTCGACAGTTTCACATAATAGAGATCCAAACTCGTGAGACGGGAGAACAAGAATGTGCTTTGGCGGTGAGACCAAATCCATAGGCCCGTGATGGAGACCGTCTCGAGATTCGGGGCATCGATTTCGATGCTACGCCCTCTAATCCACTCGTGATCAGTCAATTCAAAGTGCTCGAGCCCTTCAATTCTAATGTTTCTCAACCCCTCACAACTATCAAGGACCAGGCGCCCGAGCAAAGGGCAGCCTGACAATATATTCTCCAAGGTGACGTCATCAACTTGGACCTGTTCGAGTGTGAGTGTGCGCAAGCTTTTAAACTTTACGCTCTCGACCGGGCTCAGCCTGCATTTGCTCAGGTGTAGTTCTTCGAGGGACTCGGCTAAGAGCACTGCCGAGGGCAAGTCGTAATATGGAGGAGTATATGAATGAAAGTTGAGTTTGAAAGCTTTTATGTTGAGGGCGGCTATTATCGGGATCCATTTGTCGAGAAGGGAGATGACTGGTGGTGAGAGGGGCCAGAATAAGTCGAGATGGAATTTCTGTATGGAGATGTTTTGATCATGATATCCTTGAAGGGTTCGTTCGGTTACAGAGACAAAGCTTTGTTGTGTAGTGTTGAACAATTGTTCGGAAGAGTCGAGGTTGGGGCTAGTTGATCCTATGGAGGAGTTGACGGAGACACAGTTTTGTTGTGTAGTGTTTAATAAATTTTGGGAAGAGTCGAGGTTGGGGCGAATTGATCCATTGTTGCGCCGCCATTGTCTGCATAGGAGGAGAGAGATAATGCGGTGCAATTTGGAGCGGTTTGGTTCACGGCAACGTTGTAGAGTTCGGTCAACGACGGGGACAAACTTTTCTTGTGTGTGATTGATTTTGAACCATTTTTCGGAAAATTCGAGGTTGGGGCGCGTTGAAGCTATATGGTGCCATTGTTTGGAGAGTAGACAAGTTCTGACGGCTTCTTTTTGGGGGAGGAAACAGAGAATTTTGTGAAGTATAGGTATTGGCAGTTGGGATATTCGGTCGTCCATGGCTGCGGTGATATTCTACTCTGTTTCTGCTTTGGCTTTAAAAGAGTTTATAAAAACATTGTGCTAATCGAAAGCTTCTTCAAACAGTTTCTTATATGACTATGAATCTGTTAGAAGAAACATATAAAAGCACTTCCAATAGTTGGTTAAAAATAAGTTAGGATGAACAGATTTGAATGCAGAAAATATCTCATCTGAGACTGAGAGTTTGTTATACAGATGCGTACTCGATGCATACTCTGTTACAAAATATGTATACTCGGTCTCAATATTTTTTTAGGCCGGCTCAAATATTTGTCTGTTCTCTTAAATCTTTTAGTTGCAATTTGTTTATTAATATCTCAACATATATTATGCTAGTATTCATCCTATGCACATACACAAATACAAATAGAATATTACAAATTATATGTATGAATAATATATTTGTAATTATAAGTTGTATAATCACATTTTATAAATTTGATCATTAATATATATAATTAATATATTTATAACTTACTTTACTTATATATGAATCTCTAAGTAAATCTCATAAAATATAATTAATAATGGAAATTATACAAATTCAAGAAATTATAACTGATTAATTAGTGAAAAAAAATATTAAATTATTATTATTATAGAATTTATTTATGAAATTTTAAAGATTTTTCTATACCATTAAAACCAAATAGCTATTAAAAAAACAACTAATTGAGACAATAATGAAGTAAGACACTAATTTTAAAAGAAATAATTTGACTAAAATTTTGCTATAACCATTTTAATAAATGCATAACTTTTCATAAATTTTAGTATGACTTTTTATAATTAGTTAATATTAGTATTAATTATGATAAATAAGTACAAAATATTATTACACTTGACTTTACAAAATGTAACTGTCACTTTCCATAATTATATGAAAAAAAAGCGGGAAAAACATTTATTTGATAGCCTGCAATTATATAGATATAGATATAGACTAGTAATCAACATGTGCATTTGCACAGATACAAATTCATAGAAAAAAAATAAGAAAAACAAAAATACTAAATCATAATTTAATTCAAGAAAAAATGTTAATTAAGAAAAGGATTCTAATTATTATTAAAAAATATTTTATATACAAAATTTATATTTTATATACAATATTTTAATATAACGCCATAGAAAATTTGACATCTCTTGATTAGGTAATAGTTTTTAATTAAATGACATTAGTAACATAATATTGCACCGTAACATTTGGATTGAGAATAAAAAAAAATATATAAAATTAGAATATGGCAACATGATAATGAGATATATTGGTGTTTGAAATATAATCATTATTAATGATTTATACAATTAGATATATTGTTTGAAATAGATGACTGAATATTTTTAGTTTTATTTCTTAATTATTTGATTTTGTAATTTTGGAATCTGAATTATTGTGTGAATCATTTTTACGTACTCAAGCATAATAAAATTTGAATATATATACATATATAATAAATATATAAATAATTATTTTGTTACATTCATTCAACAAATAAGTAAAGTGAAAAGGAAATAGGCATGAATCATGTATGATCATATCGAAGAATGAGCATTACATCATTTTGGAATCTGAATTATTGTATAAAATTATTTTTATGTAATCAAAGATAAATGAAATTTGAAAAAAAAAATAAGTATGAATTCTTCCATATCAGATCAAATAATGATTGTTACATAATGTGATTGATGGGGAAGAGGTGATAAAAAACGTTACACAATTGAGATGAGTAAAAAAAATAAAAAATAAATAAATTAAATGTTTTGTAACTGATTTTGGAGGAAAAGTGAAATAATATTATTAATTGTATTGCTCCTCTTTATATATATATATATATATATATAGATGTGAAAACTAATAAAATAAAATTGAATTCTAAATGTAACAGTTTTAGGTGGTATGTGAAAACTAATAAAATTGAATGTTGAAAGTCTTGGAGAGATAATAAAATTTAATGCATGATAATATAATTTAATTCTTTGTTGCTCCTCTTTATATATATAGATATGTTAAATATATTATATATATTATATTTTAAAATTATACATATTATATTTAACGTTAATAGTCTAAAAATATCAAATAACCACATTAAAACTCACATTAGTGAAGTGCTCTATTTGATAAGTTGAGAGTGCACCTTATTTTTTTCTTTCAATTTATTTATTGCAATTTTTTACCCACATCGAAGTACTCAATAAATCCGTGTATTGCATTTTGTTTTAGCAATTTTGTATCCACATTTAAGTACTCAATAAATATTATATTTTGTTTTTAGAGTCAAAGTATCATACTAAAGAATAATATTTTTAAAATATCAAATTACTTTTTATAAGAAGTTTAGAGATCTTATATAAATAGTTAATTAAAAATAATAGGTAATGAATGAAGATGATAAATATTTTGGAAATAAAATTTTAATAATAATATAACAAATTTTGAAGTTTAATTTTCAACAATAATATGTTTTAGTAAAAAAAAAAGTTATAAGTCATACAATGAACTTGTTCGATAAATGCATCAAAATATTGAATTGAACAGAGTTTTGGAGATTCCATTGCACCAATATTATATTTTAACCGGACCAACGATGACTTATTTGATAGGAAAATACTACCATCCCGTAATGGTGGGATAGTTCCTATTTGATATACTTACATAAAAGACAAACACTACTTACAACAATCATCAACGCATTAAAACATCAATTTGTTGATCTCTTACCGAACAAATAATTTTAAGAGGAAATTGTGCCTTATACAATACAAGGCATATCATTTTTTTATTGCATAAATGAACTCGGATGTAAGTATTAGCAAATATGTAAAATCTAACATAATTAATTGTAAAATTACTAGATCCGGGTGCCGACCTCGCGAGTGACGTAGCTCATCAACCTCGTTGCCTTTAGTTTTCGGTCAGCTCGGCGTTTCCACATTTGACCGATATGCGGCTTAGATCGTCAGATCGTCTCCATCCGGTTCCTCACCTTCGAACCGGAGTCTTCGGTGGTATCCAACTCGGATATCAACATTATCATTCTACTATAAGAATATATATTTCTTCACTTCTTTATTTTGATACAAATATTTAACTTTCAAGCGCTCGTGATATTCTAAATAAATATACATTAAATAAAATAAATAATACTTCATAAAAATATTTCATAGAATTCTAAATAATATTAAAAAAATATTTTCTTATTAATTATTTATATTTTTTAATTAGCAATAAGAATTTTATTTTTTTTCACTTTTTGTTGAACAATTATTTTTTTATGAAATATCTGTATAGCACACGGGCGTTGTACAACTATTAACTAAACCGAGTAACCAAAACGATTGAGAATGAGAGAAATTGGACTAGGGAAATAGTAGCTAAGTAACTGAGTAACCAAAACGATTGGTGTTTTGCTCATGATTTCGTCGTTCACGAAATGTTTAACGTAGAAAATAGTTCCTTCTTTTATTGAACTAGTAAAGTGCACGTTCGATGCACGTGACGACGAATGTTTTTTACCGATTAAATTTAGTAAGATAAATTAATTAATTTATTACACATATATATGATTGCAGGACCAAAATAAAATGTAGAATAAATAAACTTTTCATACATTTTATTTTAAATAGAAAAATATTGTCGTAATATAAAAAGATTTAAATATCATATTACAACTCCAACAAAAATATATGAAAAATGAGTTCCTAATGAAAAAATAATAAATGACTAAATAAAGACATAGTGTATATTTTAGATGCATGAGTTATTTTATTTATTTATGTTAGATTCAAGAGTCATTTTCTTTTATTTTGGTTTTGATGTTCTCATAAGAAACATTCACACTCGTTGAATTCTAATACATCAATAGTATTGCAAAATTCTTCTTAATTAATTTGGCAAAACGTCTGTTTTATTCAACACTTATAAATACTTTAGTCAAACATATAGTCAAACTTTATGATTGTATGATCATTATAAGGTATTTCTACTAATAGTTCATAAGTATCTATGTGAAATAAACAATTGTAGCATTAAATTTCTTGATATTTGTGTCATTAAAATTCTTGATATTTCTTTTAATCACTGTATAAACTACTACATCTCTCTCTCTCTCTCTCTCTCTCTCTCTCTCTCTCTCTCTCTCTCTCTCTCTCTCTCTCTCTCTCTCTCTCTCTCTCTCTCTCTCTCTCTCTCTCTCTCTCTCTCTCTCTCTCTCTCTCTCTCTCTCTCTCTCTCTCTCTCTCTCTCTCTCTCTCTCTCTCTCTCTCTCTCTCTCTCTCTCTCTCTCTCTCTCTCTCTCTCTCTCTCTCTCTCTCTCTCTCTCTCTCTCTCTCTCTCTCTCTCTCTCTCTCTCTCTCTCTCTCTCTCTCTCTCTCTCTCTCTCTCTCTCTCTCTCTCTCTCTCTCTCTCTCTCTCTCTCTCTCTCTCTCTCCACATAGATAAATTGGTACTTACCCCATGAGGTGGGAACGAATTTCATCTCTAAACAAAATTTGATTTTCTAAAATCATTTACTTCTCTGAAGATGCTAAATTATTTTTTTTGAAATCATCACACATTACATAAAAATATGTACTCTAAAACAATTGCGCGTATGATCGATCACAATACACAGTTATGATTGTAAATATTCTTATAAAAAAGTGACAACTTATTCAACATTCAAAAATATTTTGATCAGAATCAAACATTCCCTTTTCAGTGTTATTAATTTGGAAGATAGATACCTTGCATATTCTTTCGGATTTGCAATATATATGTGTCTAATAACATTTATTGTCCAATCTTTTGTATCATAACTAATGCTTAAAAAATTCAAGATAAAGATCCTTTAGTGATTCTTCAATAATAACAAAACAAAACAAAACAATGAAACAATATTGAGAAGTATTTGTCAAAATATTTCAGATGAGAAGAATTTGAATTATACTATATTATGATACTCTTAGTCATCTGTTAACTTTATTATTATGAAGTCATTATTAAAGTTTGTGGTCTATCTTATGATAATATCGAATCATTATTTATGAGAACAAATTTCTTATAGAGAACATATACTTAAATGCTAGCAACAAAAAAAGTAGTAATTTTAAAAGATTTTTGTTTCTTGATATTAGTATTCATACTTTTCTAAAAAAATTCAGAATTTTTCTTTTCCTCATTGCATTACTATTGGTTTACTTGTTTTTTTTTTTTTTTTTTTTAAAAGAATTAGAGAACATTTATATGCAATGCGTTCTTTTTACGTGTTTGATAGTAATAATATACTTGATAAAAATGTAGTTTTATATTGTTTATAATATTAAAAAGTTTTGAATTTATTTCCATGTTCTGATAAAATATTAAGTAACTAATTCATGTTTATATTCACAAAAAATACATTTTACAACCATTATGGTGTTCCCTTTCAAGCAATAATTGAATAATAGTTTAACATACAACCGATTTATTTTTTTCTTTTAATTCACATATTTAATATTGGTAATAGTTGTACAATTACATCTAGTTGACTTTTTTCTTAGTATGAATATTTCAAATCTATGTCAGAAAAATATACCACAAGTTTATCTAATATTATTTTATAATTAATAAAATTAATTTAACATGGATCTATAATTATTTTATAAGATTCTTTTAGGTCTATTTATTATTTTAAATTGGTATTGGTATATATATATATATATATATTTATTATAATAATTATATTATTTTTATTTTATTTACAAAACATTGGTAAAATCAAATATCATGGGAAAGAAATGATATGATATATTACATATAAAAGGGTAACCAAAAAAAAAAATATATTTTTTATAAATGTGCATCTCAAGTATATTTTACATTTATCATTCGCTAGCTCCAATTGATATATGACATTTATTAATTTTATCGTTTTTTTTTTTTTTACTTTTGAGTGGAACGTCAGTTATAAGCTTTCTCGTTGTCTAATTTTACCTTTTTTATTACGTAGAACATCATTTTTACATCTTGTTTAGTATTAACATTACCTTTTCAGTAGAACATCATTCTGACCTCTTCTTTAATTATTATAATACAAATAAAATATTTAAGGACTTTTCAACTTATATGTATTTTTTTTTTAATTACTAATTATCATAAATTAAATGATAATTACATTAAATATGTTATATTTTGTATCATTATCCACAATTTTCAAAACAATTAACTGCACACAATATTATATATAGTGCAAATGTTTTAGTTTGATTTGGAGTCATACTTTTACTACAAGAAAATGATGAAATTCCAATGAAAACATATTACAGCGAAATTTCAACAACAATTAAATTTTCGTTTAAATTTTTCAATGAAAATTATAACAAAAATATTTTGTTGCAATCATGTGCAGATCCATGTTTGTCCAATAGTCCCGAAACTGGCATCATCCGAAAACAAATAGCATAAGATATCTAACAAACATTATGGCACATTTTTCATAACTTTAATCATGTCCTCTATTTAGAAAATAAAATTAAAAGAATAAATACAAATAATGATTAATTTACAACTCAACCAATCATAATTTAATTCAACTCATAACGTTATTAAAATTATAGCATCAATGCGGTTTCCCAACTAAAGAAAATATGATATTAAAGTTTACAATTTTACGCTCTATTTCTCTCTTTTCTTTTTATTCTTGATGATATCTTATTATCTCTCTTTTGAGACAAAATTTTTATCTAATTTTAGAAAATATATTTTAAGTCTTTTTTAAATGTATGTAGAATTCTAGTTATATATTCGTAATTTATACATTCATCTATTATATTGTCGAGCCAACTATACTATAACATAAAATTTTTGTTCATAAAAAGATTTTGAAAAATGTATTATTTTTTTATGATTTTCTTATGTCGAATTGAGAAAAAATATGCTTTTTTTTAATATTATTGAACTTATTGTGATTGTATTGATGTGTTAAAAAAAGTAATACATATGAGAAAGTTGACAAATTAAGAAAAGTATACTTTATAAATTATAAAGACATTATGTTGTTTTGATGCAATACTTTTTGTATTAATTAGATAGTGCTCTTAACATGAAATTATTTTGGATTCGCCACTGCAGCTAGTTTTTCATTGGAACTTTCATAATTTTTCCCAATTTCAGTGACAATTTTTCTAATGGTTGAAATATGGCCGAAAAAGAAATCCAACGTAAATTCACACAAAAATAAATATTAGTAATTGAGATATTAAATCCACAAAAATTTTAATGTAATTTAATTTACTCGCCATTGGAATAGCCAGTGAATCTTTTCAATAGAAGTTATACCAATGAAATATCTGTTAGTATTTTCTGTGGAATACCTAAACAACATCGATTTTAAATATTTTACTAATATTTATTAATAAACTTGTAAAATTAAATAAATATTGTTGAAACAGTTATCTTATTTGATAGGATACTTACGGTTAAATAAACTCTTAAATTTTATTAAGAAAATTATAAAAGTATTTAAGAATCTTGAATAATATCAATAAATAAAATATTTTATTTATAAAATTTTGAATTATAATCGTTTACAGAGCGCTCAACTTGATAATTAATTATTCAAATAAAATAAGAATAATAATAATTAAAATGTCACGAACATTTTTATTAATAATTGAATGAAAAATTTCAAATATTTTAAGTCTTAATAATTAAAAAACTACGCAACTTGATTTTAATCACCTAATGGTCACGTGAAGATTCGTTAACTCTATTAGCTTTGCGACCAAAATTTGAAAATACAAACCACTAAACAATGACGATTTTTGTGGGATCAAAATTCAATCCAATAATACTAAGGTGCAATCTAATTCTAGTTCTAAATACAAGAGTTTATTTTTCTTAAATAATGACCTAGTTAAATGAATTCTTCCATTATTCTAGTTTGTTAGATTATGTATATATTTCACGTGTGCATGATTTCGGTAATATTTTAGGTATCTTCTCTTAATTAAAGTTATGTATGTATCTTGAAAATTATTTATTATATAATATTTACCCCTCAACTAAATTATCATGTTTTACCAAGATTTATCGTTTTGTTAAAAGATAGGTAAACAAATAGTTGAGAATATTTAGATCTTTTATAAGTATTTATTATGTTGTTTGTTGCATAATTTTTTGTTTAAATAAATTTTATATATTAAAATCATTAAATATGATTACGATTTTATCATCTAAAGTATATTAAAAATAAGTACGTTATTCAAAACAAAAATTCAATATCATTTCAAAACTTTGTTGTTTGGGTTACTGTTGAGTTGATTTTTTAGAGATATGGAAGAAAACAGTTTGGGAGATATGTGGAAGAAACCAAATTCTTGAAAAATAATGGTGTGAATATTGTGGATGATTTTTAAGAGATGTGGAATGTTTTGTTCATTTAATTGTATTAAATGAATGAAATATTAAATGAGTATTAGTGTATTACTAATTTGACATTAAAATTATGTCAAATAAAAGGCTTTTTAGGTAAATATTAGTTATTAATAAAAAACATATAAGATGGGATATATATTATGTTATTACTAATTTGTCATTTAAAATATACCAAAGTAAGGGTATATTAGTTAGTTCTTTCTTTTACAAAAATACTCGTCTTTTTTTAATAGTATTCCGAGTTACCATTTTAGTTAGCACAACATTTAGACATAGAATATAATAAAACATTTGGACTACATATTGTATAAGATTATTTTGTAGATATATTGTTTACAAGAACCAATTTGTTTTGGTGGACTTCTGTGGAAGAGTTATTTTTTTTCCAACAGCTACTTAGCTAAGAGATCATAACAATTTCTTCAAAGACCACCTCAATCTCCATCACTTTTAGTAAAATTTAGAATTATTTGAGTCATACTTTGGGCGTGGATCATAATAGTCTTCAATGTTACGCTGTTATTTATTTAATTAAATATTAGTGATTAATTAAAAAATATAAGATTTGAAGAGTATTAGTGTATTAATAATTTGACATTAAAATTATGTCAAAGTAAGAGTTTTTTAGGTAGTTCATTTGTTAATTAAAAATATAAAATAAGATGGGTATTACTATATTACTAATTTGCCATTAAAAATATGTCAAAGTAAGAGTTTTTTAGGCAGATCATCATTTGTTAATTAAAAATATAAAATAAGACTGGTATTACTGAATTACTAATTTGCCATTAAATATATGTCAAAGTAAGGGTTTTTTAAGCAAATCATTATTTTTACAAAATCACTCGTCCTTTTATAATAGTATAGATAGATATAGATAGATAGATAGATAGATATAGATATAGATATAGATAGACAGATAGATAAATTTGATTCTTTGCTTGCTTGTTCTTCTGCTGGTTATGAAACATGTTGAGCATGAGAAAACATTACCTAAAACAGTCATCCCGTGATCAAATACGAAAGCTCAAAGTCACGAAAATATGGTAAACTGAAAGTAATTTTACCTGTGATCGGAAGTCTGGACTAACTTCCGAGACATATGTTGCAATATATTTGGGATTGGTGGACTTATTCCTCTACACAATACCTTTTTCTGTCATTTACACTTGCTTTTTGACACCAATGTAGTATATATTAAAAGTTTGGCTTTGGATGATATTACACTTTTATTCTTTAGTATATATTAAAAGTTTGGCTTTGGATGATATTACACTTTTATTCTTTATGAATGATTGGTATTATATACTAAAAACTTGGCTTTGGATGATATTACACTTTTACCCTTTATGAATTAATAAACAAGTTCTATGTTCTGTTGTTTTTCACTTAGATAGAATTGTGTTGAATTGTTATGTGAATTAATAAATTAGAAGAAAAATATTTATAATATACCTTATTATAAATTATCAAAAAATAAAATACTGTAACATATATAGTTAAAAATTAGTATTCTTATAACCTTAAAACAATATACACTACATTATTTTTAAATTAAGTGTCGGTTTATAATATTTGTCACAATTTTTCAACTTTATCATCACTTATTTAATAATCGAAATAAGATATTGTAAAAAGATATAAATAAGGGAAAAAAGAGAAAAGTATTTTTGTGTAAATTATTTATTGAGATTGTTTAAATATGGTAATTTTAATTTTCTTTAATTTTAAACAGTAACGGGTGATTATATAAGTAACTCTAAAATGGAAGTTATTTTATAACGGGTGAAAAAAAATTATATAGCGAGCAATAGCGATCTATTTAAAACAATGCATATAAATTAAAACAATATAAAACTAGAAATATATTTTGTCTGTTATATTTAATAAAATAAAATCCATCCTGAAATGTGTTTTCATATTCTCTCTATTCATTAGGAAAAAAAACCAAAATTATAACAAAAAAAAAAAGCCTCAAATTACCAATTCAAGACCCCATCCGCAAGACCTGCAAAATTTCAAAACAATGATATGAAGATCCTCGAATTACCAATTCAATGATATGAAGACCCTCTCGAGACCTGGAAAATTTCAAAACAATGATATGAAAGACCCTCGAATTACCAATTCAATGATATGAAGACCCTCTTGAGACCTGGAAAATTTCAAAACAATTCAAGACCGCAAGACCTGGAAAAGAAGTCTCGGGCAGTTAATATATCCAACGACTTGCTTGACAGGATGAGTCGGTACACACACAAACTAGTGAGCCGTCACCCACGATGGGACCCTCTCGAGACTTGGGCTTCGATTTCGATGCTACGATCTTTGAGTTTGATCTCCTTCATAACACTATCACAGCATACCGAATAGGCCTAAGCTTTCAATTGGAGTGAAAGAAAACCGGAAAGGTCCGTCCATACTTCCTGTTTCGCAATTCTGACCTCTCCATTTCAACTTAACGCATATTACACCATCATACGTCCTGTTTCGCAATTCTGAAAGATCCGTCCACTCCACGAGCTGCCATATTTTCCCATTGACGGTTTTCACGTGCACTTGCTCCACATCGTGCCGCCAAAAGGTCCCGAGGCTCATGTTTGCAAGCAACATGTTGAACTGAAACCCTGAGAGCCTATGGTACCAGGCCACCTCCGACTCGCTCACGAGCCTACGACCCCATACGTGCCTCGGTCGACAAACACGAAACAAATCATTCGTAAAGTCCGAGTACCAAGATTCTGTGCAATATTTAGAATTTCTAAATTCAAAGTTCTCCACGACCACAGGTGGCTCGTCACTGAGAAGATGATTGCCATCAACAGCATCACATCGCACGTCCAGACGATAGCCGCGGTACATCTGCAGAATCATATCAATCCGAGACCCACTAAGTGGCTTGAGCATTCGTCTCAGCTTAAGGAACCACGAATTGATGTTGAAATTGGGATCATCATCACACAAATTGAGGAATACATTTGAATCCCACTCCTTGGAAGTAGTGGTCGTGAAAGAGAATGTGTCCAGCACCTGGGGGGCAATGATCATAAAATTGAGAATGTTGGGGGCACAAATCGTAACTCCTTTAAGCAATATTTCAGTTGCCGAGATGCTCAACCGCTTGACCGAATCACTAGCAAGATGGAATTCCTCGAAACCGGAGCAATTATCTAGGGCCAAGCTCTCAAGAGTTGGGCAGTCGAACGATAACATGTCGATGGACTCGCTCGACAGGATCACATTACAGAGATGCAAACTCGTGAGACGAGAAAACAAGAATGCGCTTCGGCGGTGAGACCAAATCCATGGGCCCCTGATGCGGACCGTCTCGAGATTCGGGACATCGATTTGGATGCTACCCCATTCCATTATGATGCAATCATACAATTCAAAGTGCTTGAGCCCAGGCGCCTCGCTCAACCTAACGTTTCTCAACTCCCAACAATCATTAATGACCAGGCGAATGAGCAAAGGGCATCCCAACTTTTTTGTCTCCAAAGTCCCGCCATCAACTTGGACCCGTTCGAGAGTGAGCGTGCGCAGACTTTTGAACCGCACGCTCTCGACTGGGCTCAGCCTGCATTTGTTCAGGTGTAGTTCTTCGAGGGACTCGGATAAGAGGACTGCCAAGGGCAGGTTGTAATACGGCGGAGGTAATGAAAGAAACTCGAGTTTAAACGCTTTTATGTTGAGGGGGGCGATTATTGGGATCCATTTGTCGAGAAGGGAGACGACCGGTCGTGAGTCGGGCCTCGATAAGTTAAGACAGAGTTGGTGTACGGAGAGGTTTTGATCACGGTATCCTTGTAGGGTTCTGTCGATGATGGAGACAAACTTTTCTTGTGTGTCGTCGAACCATTCTTCGGAGAAGTCGAGGTTTGGGCGGGTTGATCCTATGTGGCGCCATTGTTTGGAGAGGAGACAAGTTCTCACAGCTTCTTTCTGGGAGAGGAAACAGAGAATATGGTGAAGTATAGGTATTGGAAATTCGGATATTCTATCGTCCATGGCTGCCGAGGTATTCTCCTTTTTTTTTTTCTTTTCTTTTTTAAGGTGAGAGTTAATTAAAACACACAGTTTTGTAATCGAAAACTTTTTCAATCAGTTTTCTAATATGACTACGAATCCCTTACAAACATATAAAAGCATTTCCAATCCTTTGGAGTTTGTTAAAAAATGAGTTACATCGAACAGTTTGTTACTCAGATATTCCTAATCCTACTCAGTTTTTATTCGGGATAGCATTCTGGATTTACGGGATTCTTTTCCAAGATTGATTCTAGATCAATATGGTAATTGTTGTATATTAATGATTAGGTAGTAGTATTGTTGGGTTAAGAGCATTCACAATGTTATTCACAATGTTTTGGGTCTTTTAACAAAAAATCACATGCCTTGTAGGAAATAGACTTAGTCTATAAAAAAATGTCTCCCAATGCAATTAAAAGTAAATATAGTCTAGCTTATGTGGCAATAAAAAAAAGAGACTAAGTCCACACTTGGGTCTATTTTGGACCCAAGTACAAACCCAAACACACATAATTTATTCCTAATTTAATATTTCTTTTAATAAAGGAAACATATTAGAGCATTTTTATTGGTTGGCATGTATGCTAAACCTAATATTTTATTTTTGCATTGAATAGCTTTTGAGTTATTTTACTTGAGTTTGTCCATGTCATTTAGGACTTAAGTCTATTTATGTGTCACATAGGTAAGATTAGACCCAATACATTGTGGATGATAAGTAGGAAAGTGAAGATACTTTATTCGAGGTGTGCAGAAATCTCCTATTCTATATCATTATGGTCATTATTGATTATTGATTATGGTCATTATTGTATATTAGTTAGATAGTATTGCTCGATTAATTAGGAAAACTATCTCTACACTATCAGGGCCGACCCTTCGGGAGACAAGCTAGGCCATGCCTTAGCCCTCCATTTATTTGGGGCCTCAAATTTTGTTTTTTATTAGAGAAATTTACCCCCTTTACATTTCATCCCCTTAATGATTTTAAATTTACGACCTCAAAAACTTTTCATCTCAATTACGTTATTTAATAATTAAAGTAATATTTGTTGCAGTTAAGTTTGGCCTGATTTTTTGGGAAACGTGATTATCTCTCCATCTTTACACTCAACATAACAAAAAAAAGAAAAGTAAAGAAATCATCTTTATCTCTCCATATCGGTAACTTCTTTATTTCTCCCAAAAAAACTCCATCTCTCCTACAAGAAAAAATTGAGAAGAACAAAAATCACGATTGAAAGAAAAATGTCGAAGCAAACAAAAATTGAGGGCAAACCATCCGAAATTGAAGACGAATCAAGGATAACCCGCTCCCAATCTCGTCAAAAATCGCAATTTCAACCTCCCGAGCGGAAGGTTGTACAAAAAAAGCTCCAATTTCAGAAAATGGAGGCTCCGAATCGTGGCAAAAATTCTATTCCGAAGGCCGCGGACGGTGAGTCGAACGTCGGCGACGATTTTGTCTCCGAACGTAAAAAAAAAAAAAAAAAAAAAAAAG